CATTTTCATGACATGAGTATCATTAATATAGAGGAACAGTTGAGAATTTCGGCATAATTCTGATAAACTACACTAAAGACCCTCATTAGTACCAATCATTACGGCAAACATGCAATAGCTTTGTTTACAGGAATGCCCACTTCTTTAAATTAAGGCAAGAATCCGATTAAGTTAAGTACCTACCCGCAATTAATTTCAATTTGTAATCAGTCATTTGTCATTGAACTGAAAAGACTTTGAAAGCTGTACACCAGACATTCAGTCCTGATTGTAACAAGTAACTTGTAAAAGACACAATAAGGATACCGTTCTTTTTGTTGACTTATCTGAATTAGCTATCATAGTAGTGAGAATTAAATTAGAAGAAAACTTAGCATTGTAGACCATTAATTGCTACGAGCTGTACTTTGTTATTGCTAGCTTTGTAACTACCAGCTGTACTTTGTAAAGTTTCGTCTCAGGCCAAAACATGTTTTCGTGACTTCTGCTCTCGCGTGAGTTAGTCAGGAGCCTATGACGTCAAGTTCGTCGCCACACCGGACCTTAGTGGTGCAATATTAGTCCTCTTTGTAGCAATTTGCTTCTGACGTCTGCAGCAGCCCGTGACAGTTTCCCTTTTAGTAATGAAACCTATTTACAGCATGATAAGAATCACGAAACTCCTTTTTTCATTTCTTTGTCCTTGTCTGATAGTTTGACGTACTTGACATCATTCTGGTGTAATTGGGCTTTCTAACTTAGTTGCGCGTAATTTTTAAGTTAGAGAAAGGACGCTGGCTAACATTTCGAATGTCACCAAGTATATGCTCCAAACGCTTCATTTGCGTTGCCGTGAATTGCTGCACGTTTCAAGCGAAATTCTTTTCATTCCTTTGCGCAAGATATTTTGTTTGGAATCAATTGCTATTTGATTTTTACTTTTAAGGATTATTTAGATCCCACAGAAAATCGGTGGACCAGAAACCAAAACCAAATAATATTTAGAACTACACTTTGAAGAGCTTTTCCTGATCATTTTAACGATGAGGTATTTCATTAGTGGTTTTCAAGAACGGATGTAATATCTGTAATAGCTGGGGGTAATGCCCCCATACCGTAATAACGTCCTCTCACAGTAGCATTTCCACGGTGCCAGTCATATTTTTACCTTCGGACTCTCCATCTGATGAATTTGTTCACAACAATACCCAATGAAAAACCAAAGAAGTAGTTTTAACCATAAAGAAAATGTAAAGGAAATAAATTCTTTGGTCTCTCTCTATAGTCTTAGTTGCAGTGTTTTGTTTATCTTATGACGACCACTGGACCAAAGTGAGGTTTTTATTTTTAGGGGTTTTATTGGGGCAAATGGAGTAGTAGCAAGTTTTGAAGAGGATTCCAAATTCTACTTAAATTTTAAAACAGGAGAACATGGACTGTTTTCGGATAGAAAATGGAACTGAATTCAAAGGGCTAGACGACATCATAGTCAAGGTTTCTTAATGTGAAATAGTGTTTTGGTGTCTGCTTTTTTTCTCAGCAAGTAATTATAAATGGTTTACCTCGTTGCTCAGGAAGTCTTACATCATCAGTGAAATACTTTCGAAAGCACCTTATTAGTTTAGGAGGGGTTTGCATAACGCCAAGATGTGATTGTTAAGGGATTAGTTTGTATTAGCTGTAATGCAATCTAGGGATGTTTATGTTTTAAAGGAGTTATGGCCTCTGACTCTCCTGAAGGACAATTCTGGTCAGTTCGAAAATGCGTATTTGTTTGATAAAAGGAGTCGTTCCGAACGAAAATCACCTAACTTTTGGCGACTGCAAGGGTATAAAAAATATATACTCATCTGACGCCAACAACTGGCATTAGAACTAAAATATTTAAATGAAGAATCCTCTGAATATTTTCTTAGCTCTCATCGAAATGAAGTGATTAGTGCGCCCCTAATGAATTCCCCTCCTCCCTCCAAACTCATCGTGAAACATCTGAGTACACGCACTAAAAAAGAGATAACGTGTAAAGTGCTCGACTGAAGTCGTTTGTTGGAAAACAAGAGAAAAATTACACATCAGTTTTATTTGGATATTAATCGTTTAATGTCTGCAGTCGATTCATGAAAAGGGCATTTTTTTCTCACCGTGATATTACTGAATCGAGTTCAGAGAAGACTAGCAACTATCATCCGCCAAATTTCATTGTAATTATCATGGATTTTTGCCGTAGGTGTAAGGGTAGTTAATAAGTAACTTAGTGAGGCTTCATGCGAAATGATTTAAGCAAAAGTAGAGTGGTGTAGGCGATTGCTGTTATTTAACGGTGTGACGGTGTGAACGTAGTTTTGAGTGCCCGATTAACACTGGAGAGTTAACATTTTCAGTTTTGAGTGTAGCCGATATAGTGTTAGAAGTTAAATGTGACGCAGTGTTTAAAGACAACTTCGAGATAGTGCTAAACTATTATTAGAGCGCACAATGTTTTCTGTACCATGGCTTGATATAGATTGTAAGGTATACAAATTTTTATCTTGAACTGTAAGTTCCGTAACTAGCATCATTTGCTTCAGTATTTAAGGAGCTCTTGACCTCACTTTTAATCGATTCATAATCTTCCGTCCAACGCCAAGTGAGTAATATCAGCACGCTTCATAAATAAAGCACGAGGGTTTTGCAGAAAACCTCTATTTCGTCTTAAAAGTGAAGGAAAAGTGATCCTTTAGCGTCATAGGCCCGTTGTTGTCTGAAACTGACGCTGTGCAATTTTCATGAAGGGAACACCTCTGTGTTTAATATCATAATTTGGTCATTATATTTTGAACTTATGATCAAACGCGAATTGCGTGCAATAGAAAGCGGAGTTACAACAATCAAAACAAACGACTGCACGCAATCAGAGGAACGGAAAGAAGCAGGCTTGTTCAATATAGCTTTCGTGCCATGACTTTGTACAATTTACATTCCATCCGCTTGTTCTAAAAAGAGCCTATGGCCATGAATAACTTGTTTATTGCTAGAATTAGATCGAGAACACGAAATCTGAATAACTAAATATGTTTTAACTCTTCATTTATGGAAAAACCCTGTTTTTTGATGACGGAGTCTAATTTCGTGTTTACGTAAAATAAGAGAGATATTAAACGCGTTCTGTCAGTCTAGGAGGCGTCAGGCTCAAAGTATAATGATAAATCTTCTTCAAAACAACTTGAAGTGACGTAAACTCTCAGTAAACTGCCTTATATTTCAAGAATTCGTGTCCACTGTTTACTTCTTAAAGGCTGGATGATAGTTTAAGCCTGTCTGCATTCTCCACTCAATACTGGTTTATCTCAAAATACACGAGAAGCACGATATAATTACTAAAAAAGATTGTTTTTCAACCTTCCTATATTACTTGTCGTCCAAGTATAATACTTTGTCATACGCTTTTTTTATTTGTCGTCCGTACGATATGCTAGACTCAATGACTGAAGAAAACACTATGAACTGTTGAGGACCGACAAAAAACTAATCAAATTTGGCCGTTTTATTTTGCCACAAATGGTCTCATTTGAGTGCCTACTTATGCCTCTCAACATTGTCTCAATGAATTCAGGCACTACAAATTAAAAATAAACGTAGCCAAGAGTGAAGTGTCCTGTATTGGCAGATGTTTTCCTATTGCACGCGCGAACCAATACTTGAAAATTGGTCAGGGTTAAAGCAGTAGTGTTTCGCCCTAGCGTATTTTGCTGCCGGCAATAATTGACACGCGAATCCAAACAACATTACTTCGAAACTCCTTAGCAATGAAATTAAACTTGATTTAATCAAGTCGACGGGCCTGGTCACTAAGTTCTAACTTTATTATTAATGCAATTCCTGTTTTTTTCTTTTTATTTCATCGATTTGATGATAGCATTTGAATAAATTACTTGTGTGTCCGACTTAAGACACGATTGGTTTGGATCATAATTTCCGCGCTGTTTTATTTAACGCGGTTCTTATCGTCAGTATAGTACTGGAAGTAATCAAAAGCATATATTTTGAGATCGTTTAGCTGAGAAAATGGGGAAAATGCTTCACAATTACACTGAACTGAACTAAGGCCCCAACCCCTGTTATTCTTGACCACCAAAACGTAGCAAAATATTTTAGCCTGCACCAGCAATATCAGTTTTTTTTCACTTGGCTATCCACACCAAAGCGCTTGCAATTTAAAATTCATATAATTTTTACACGTTTCCGCTTGCCTTCATTTCAAATGCCCACAGAGATGGTAACCACATTATAATTATGAGGCTTTCTTCGCCTGTTTACACCAGAAAAGGAATGTTGTAAAAAAGATCTGTTTCCAAAAATCATTTCAAAAACTTCTTTTTTATTATATCTTTGAGTGTTTTAGTTTAGGTGTTGGACGGAAACGCATATAAAGCAAGCGAAAATATGTCGTGTAGATCGAGCCTGAAGGTGGTTTTGATACCGAATTAGCTTACATCATTCCTCAAATAAGGAATCCTGACTTCTTGATTGAAATGATTTTTTTAAAATTATATATCTCTCAATGGAGGGTTTTGGAGTTTTCGGTTTTGTTTTTCAATTAATATGCCAGTTACATTTACAGCTTTAACTTTAGAAACCTTTTTCTGAAATGGTGCGTTATTTCTTTTGAACTAATTGTAAAACATTGCTTGATACTCGAGAAAGCGCCTCCCCGCATCCTCCTCCCCTCCATCCCGAGCAGAGAAAATGAACAAGTTATCCCCTCACCGTTCCAGTGTCTTCATGAGAGTTACAGATGTGAACAGATCTAGATAATTGATCTTTAATTTCAAAAACGTTTAGGGTAATCTGCGTTCAGACACATCACTGACCAATAGAGTAACATTTTACTGGAAGTCTGACCAATAAAATGGTACTAAATTTAGCATGGGCTCTGGCCATTCTGGGCGTGGCAACAATTAAATTAAGTGATTGTTAGGACTCTTGCCTTGACGCCCCATTGATTAGCATTGCATGATACAGTCTCAACCACTTGTCCCTAGAACCTCAACTTGGGTCGATTCACAATTCTTTGAACAACAATGCGGATGGTGACGATTATTAATGACAATGGACAAGTATATGAAATCAGAGGAACGTCAAGGAAAAAAGATCTTCCATAAACTATGGGACCCTTTGAGATTCGGGGAACAAGGCAAAAAAATCTCGATTATTTAGGTAAGTCAGACTGATTCTTTGTTTAAAAGTTTTTCGACTTCCCTTAACGCTTTTAAACTGTTTGTGATCATGCGCAAAGCCGCTCATGGTTCAATTGTTAAGAGTCAGTATGTGATTACATTTTGAAAATCAGTTTTAATACGGCGAGGGAGCGAGTGTGTGGAAATGAATAACTTTTCTAAACGTGCTTTGCAGTTCAAAGTAGCACGGGACCCAGTTATCTATGTCTCAAAACTCTATTTTTTGTGTTGCGACCCTAAATTCCTTCATGAATTAGGTTTTAATTGACTTCACCACACTTGTTCCATAGTCCGTAGTTTACGTTCGGTGTGTTTGGATGAACTACCAACTAGTTTACTCCATTCCTTATTTTTCTCTAACAGTTAATAGGCGTCGTTCAGCCTCAAACCAGTCCACTCTTTTATGTTATCCTTCTATCGCCTCGTTTGTCTGCAGCCTTTCCTTCTCCCAGCTCTTGTAGTTTATTGCAGGAGTGTCTTGGAAGGCCTTGATAATCTCGACATGTGCCCATACCATCTCAGTGTTACCTCTTTGGAGGTTTTCCTGGTAACTGAAGGGTCTTCGGCTGTTGGCTTGTCTTTTTCATTTTTTTTTCTTTATTTCTAAATTTCTCTCTCTGTAGTAGATGTACAGCCACTTTTGGAAACATTTCATCATTGCTTTGTCATCTGTCAGTATCCACTACTTCCATTTACACAAAAATATTGAGGTTACCCAGTGCAAGTCTAATTTTTGTGATGAAGGCAAGGTTCCTGTCATTTCAGCTCTAAGAGAGCAGTTTTGAACTGCACAGCCTAAGAGAGCTCTTTGGCTTTTATCCATAATCAAAATTTATGTTGCTAAAGATTTGAAGTTGCTTGCAGATTCCAGTCTCTTAGTGCTAATGTGTAGTTGTTGGTGTTGTTGTTTCCATCAATGTGCGTAGTGTATGCTTTAGAGGTCAAGGATTTTCATGAAGCCGAAGAACTCAACTTCCTACCTTTCATATTATTTTTGATCGGGTGGCTGACGAGGCTCGACATGATTCTAGCCAACGTTTCGAGCGTAAATATTTGTTATTTGCTCTGTCGAAGGGCTAACGCTCGAAACGTCAGCTTCAAAACTCTTTACGGTAGCCAATTTACATTATCAACTCAGTTGATAAAACAAATTGTCTTAAAATTTTCCCACCGACGCAGCATCACAGTTTCTTAAGAAACTTACCGCACAAATTCTGGCAAAGTTTCGTTGCCTGTCTATATATTGAGCCCATCGTGTGGAATACTCATCAATCTGCCAGATGTTGTTGCTCCTAGGCCTGGTAATGTTCATTTCGCGAGTGAGAGGAAAAAACGTTAATGGACAGACAAATTACCTTTAAGAAATTATGGCCGATTGATTACGAGAAAGCAAGAAACACAATACTACAAGAGACAGAATTTTGAAAGACGGATGATTTGACCAACAGACCAGAAAACTCGACATACAATCGAATCTGTATTAAGCGGCACCATATTAAGCACTCACCTGTATTAAGCGGTCGGTTTTCAAACTGCCGAAAATGTTACTCCTTGATTGATGCAATTTTCATCTCTTTTAACCGGTCACTTCTATTTAGCGGTCGTGGTCACCCTCCTTAGTCCCATCGACCTGTTCGTATTGTCCACCACCTCTAATGAACGGTCACTTGATGCGGAACCACTCAAATAAGACCAAGACTTATCCATAGTTTTCTCCCAAAATCAATGTTAATAGTATTTTTGACTGAGTTTTTGTACATTAAGTGGTCATTTATTGCATAAAATGACGTTTTTTATCGTTTCTTCATAATACCACTATTCTGTGGAACCTGTATTAAGTGGTCAACCTGTATTAAGGTTGGGTTACCGCTTGATTTAGGTTTGACTGCTATTTGGTTTTATTGACTGTGTTGATAAAGTAAACTGGCCACCCGTAAAAAGTGTTTAGACCTGTCGTTTCGAACTTTGACCCTTCGTCAGAGCCTTTCGTAGGAAATACTGCGAGCATACCCAAACAGTTCCCATGGGTAAAATTGATTGAGAAACTTACCGAGCTAAAGAGAAGTTATAAGATAAAGGAGTTCGATCTATCATTGAAACTATCTGTGTTCTACGTAATAGGCCACTCCCTTATTGCGATCTACACCCAACTGATCAACAAGAGAGAATATCCTTTGAGAGCTATAATGGATCACGCAGGATAGATTACCTGCAGCTCACCAGAAGTCTTAAGAGCGCCAAAGATCTCTCCAAAAAATCATTCTCATTCACCCTGGACAAAGAAGACATCTTCAACGCCTCGATGTGGACTCGATATTCTACATTACCATACACGAAACACTTGTCATCACCAGAGACCGCTGAGAGGGTATGGAACGAAAGAAGAGAACGAACCGAGAGGCGACTGACCTTATGTACCTCACAAAATGTATTGGCAAACCCTCATAGTTCACGTAGGAATGCGCCACTTTGCAATCCAATACCCCCAACCCTGGCAGGCATTTTTTAATGGATTGGTTGGAAGAACAATCAGTCGCTTGGACAGTGAAGCTAAGCCTTGGAGCATGCAAGTGGATGATTACGTAGAAGTCGTTAATAGTGGACTAGTGGAGGCTCTGATAGGTTAATTTATCGGTATTAGCAGGATCAAATTTGCCCATTTCACAGAAGCATAAGTCCAAATTCTGTTCCTGGACACATTACACGCAATACAGGACCCGTCTCCGGAGTGACAACATAATTTCAGAGGAAAAAGAACGAAGGAATGAATACGAGCATGTAAGAACAGTATTCGACGCGTTTGGACATCCAGGGTGAGGGAAAAAATGTAGGCTAAAAAAGACGCCAAAGGAGAGAAAAAGCATGGGAAACACACGAGTAACGAAGAGGAATGGTGTTATTTCAATCGTCAAACCATTTACACAAAGGATGCAGCGCATATTCGCCGACGGCGCACAGTAGTCTTAACTGTAAAACCATATACTTATCACCCCTATTTAAGTCCAAGTACACCCGACGGAAAAGAATAATCGGTTTATAAAGAGAGAGGCAGCACACAAAATCCTTCGCATACGAAGGGAAACAGTACAGAAAGTTTGAAGTAAGAATGAGAACATTTCGAAGTCAGGTAATAGATGGATCCTTGGCAGGCATTTCACGAGAACCAATAGCAAAGCCTCGGCTTACAATGAAATGAAATAAATTATACCTTGAATTCCGAATTAGGAAAAGTAATGAAATGTTCTCCAATGGTAAGGTGGGATTTGAAAACCTAGAGGTGAAGAAACCTGTCGATATTTACCGGAACAGATCGATGCTCCAAATGTAAACCATTGAGAGAAGATTCAAATTTGCAATTGAATTAAGACATTGATTAGAAAACGTATTGGCTAATGAAACCAAGGGTCATCTAGTCTAGGATTTGTTGCTTTAAAAACAGCACAACATTAAATAAGATTCTTTCGATCAAAAAAAACATGATATTTTCCCCAAGTAAGATACACTTCTACAACGTACTGAGGAGACCGAATACCAAATTGAAAGTCACAAATGCATTTCGATCCAGCTTCTAGTGTTGTCGTCAAAGACAACAGCTAAATTCCCAGAAGCAACCTCTCGGCTTCTCTTTAAAATCACTCTACCAAAGCAAAATCTTTGTGGTAGAGGCTCCTGGTATGGGCAGATTAGCACTCCTTTAAATTTAGAACCAGATAAAAATGCATCGAAAAGGAAAGCAAGTCTCTCGACTTTCCGCCTTGGAAGTTAGTAAACTCTGTTTGAAGATATTTGAACTTGTTCGTTACGTCTTTAGTTCAATACTGAATCACTTGGGCCGTGGCTTTCGCTCATTTCCGGAGCTATAAAACTACATCTAATGAAGCATTATTAGTCTCTGTGGGAAGTAGGTGATAAAAAAAATGGACCACTTAAACAAACACAGCGGTATGCAAAACCTTTCCAAAATGAATCTTCTTGTCTATAAGAGACCGTTTGTGATTTGCACACGCAAACACTTTACTTTTGTTGACGAAAAATGATGGTGGTGTTGCTGTTTGGTTAGTTCCCCTCCAAAGATTCTAGTGGGAGATTTAAAGTGGAAATGACATAGCTTGTGCTTCAAGATAGTCGATAATTTTAAATGATAGCAACTTTTGGGTGTTTCAAGGTGTTTCAATCAACCAGCTTTACGTTCCCAATAAACCGTTCATCAAAACCATGAGAAGCAAAAGTAGACGTCCTCGGTCTACCAAGCTGGTGGCAAGTTTGTTTTTACTATTATAAGATCTTAATGAAATTTGAATCAAATATTTTGAGTTGTTTGCCAAGTTGGCTCTAAATAGGCCAATTGAGACCCTGAGTTGTTCCCATATCTACAGGTTTGAATGCTTACAGCGATTTTACCTCCACCGAGTGGTGCGTGGCTCAAGCAGGTGTATGAATTATGGTTCAAATACCTCTTAAAGTACGCAGTCCAATTCGCAAGGATTCTTTCTTGTATTAGTTCAATTGTCTCTTATATACCTGATGGATCGTTAATCACCTTTGTTTTTTCCATTGAATCCTGAGAACAGAGTATATAACGTGAGTGTTACGCCAGAACAAACAAAGACTCAACAGTTAAACGCCTTTTGTTCTTATTTGTTTGGTTCTATGTATTTTTTGGTTCATGTTATTCCGCTCGTTGTTTTCACCACGTTTTGGGCAAGAAACTGGTCAAAATAAAACCTTTATGACAAAAAGCAAGTTTTCAAAACTCGTAATAAATAATCTAAACGTATCACAACCTGCCTGAATTCAAGCCATTATTTCAACTCCTCTTTCCTTTTTCACTAATTCCGTTTGTTTTTATCTTATTGTTCCCTTATCTGAATTTGTAACAATGAATAGAAATTCCACTCACCCCGAGAATTTTCTCTCTTGTAAACAATCAATTCTGACTTTTGTTTAAAGAGCTAGAAGGAAAGCGACGGTTACTAACAATAGACTCTTTTTTTTCTTTTTTTTTGTATTCGATTGAATTATTATTCCTTGCAAAAGTCGGTGTTTATTTTATAATGCGTGTTAATTGAACCCTAGGGCGATAGGAACATTAGGTGACCAAAGCCTTATATTTATATTTAATAACTAAATGTGACAACACAGGTCAGTTTAGCATGGAGAGTAAAAATAAATATGAAGGAAAAAGCAACGTATTGGCAATTTCATCAATCGTGAATTCGTTTGCTTAAAGACAGGTCAGGTTAAAGAGCGCTTTTGTGTTCACCACATATCGATAGAAAACAGAACAGCCTGATTATTACACGACAGATGGTCGGTAAATGGCATACATTGGTAAGACTTAAGGTCACATGGTAAGACCTTGGACTTGACGAGCAATTATTATGTAATTTTTGTAGATGTCTATTTCACATTCTTCCCTCGCTAACTTTTTAGAAAAAAAAAAGAAGGAAAGCACGATCCATTTTCACGATTTCTCGATATAAACCGCTCACTGAGCAGAAGCAATTTAAAGGGCACTCGAACTTATTTGAGGAGAAATCACTCCCGACCTTTGTAGTGCTTAACAATGGAAATACTCCCGCCGTGCGATATTCAGTCAATTTTAATTTGCCATTTTATCGAATGTTTTTCATGGAACAATATTATCTAACCACACCACATCTGTTTTCACAAATATGCATGTATTGTGGTTTATCTATTTGAAAAATTGATTTGGTTAGGAATTTTCTTTGATTGTATGTATAAATTTTGTGTAATGTGCTGGGTGATCAAACTATTTTCTTTTTGTAGCATTGTTTAATGTTGAAATTTAGAGTATCTAAGATTACTTGAAGAGCATCATTTTACCCTTTTGCTGGAAATAAAAGAAAAAAATGTGTACCTTACGTGTGTAAATATGTGTTCCATGGTTATCTATTTTTTTTTAACTTTTAGGAGGCAAGCTCCTTCCATTAATCATAGTTGTCTTTGAAATATGGAAGTAATTCAATTAGAGTTTGCTAAAGAAGTGATGGTCATCGGTGACAGCAAATTTAAGTCATGAACCGTGATCAATATGTTCGAAGTGAATTTTATCCTTATTCGCGTTAAATACTACACCTTTGTAGATCTTTCAGGAATGTAGCTTGTTGAATGGTGTAACATTCTTCACCGTTGTTTTTCCTTTTATTATCCCTTTGACAGCCTAAATATGTTCATGGAGCTATGTTCATTATCTTTAATGCGATTTTAAATCAGGAAGAATCAGAATTTATCTCCTTGTTCCATCTTAGGAATTCTAAACGCAATTTAGTCAATCATCTTATTACTTAATGTTCATGCATGGCAATTAATGTGGATGACGAGAGGATTAAGCAGTGGAGAGCTGCTCTTAGATCAATCTTAATTTGCTTAAAACTGACTCTGTAGTGTCTCTGCCTGCAAACAGAATAATCTCATTATCTACCGATAAAGATTGGTGAATCGTGGTATCGTGGCAATGTTTTAGTTAAGTGGATTTGCTTACTTAATATAATTCTTCCGCTGTTTTGCTTGAGCACCATACAATACTCCATTCCACGCGTTCCGGGGTAAACTTTAAACTCTTTATTCCATACTAAAATCATTACTTTGATCCACAAGTTTTAAATTCGTTCAGGATTGGTTTTTGTCATTGTGTACGTTGTCTTCCCTTTTTCTAGCTTCCTTTTCTGTCGTTTAAAAACGTTTACACCAACATAAAATTTGCCGGGGATTGTAATAACAACTCAGCAAGCCAGGCGTTGTGTCTCTAAGATCCGCTTTTCAAATGTTCTCTGTCTCTTTGTGTAAAATTGAGCGCGATTATCGTGCACGCTTAAAAGTGGTAGTACTCTAAATTTATTTTCCTTATTTCCTTCCATTAAGTGCATTGATCATGATTCACTTCTCAAACTGATTACTGAGAGACGTATAAATTTTTGAAACTAAATTTAATTTTCTGTCGTGTAGATTTATTTTGATTTAAATATCACTATAATAACGTTTTTCGTTGAAACAGGCCGTTTTGGGCACGACCTCTTAAAGTGAAATAAGCGCAACTTTGTAACGTTTTTTTGCTTCTTTGGTAGACTCGTTGTGGCGCTTCATGGCTTGAATTATTCCTGACGAACGATGTAAATATGTTTAAAACTGGGTCTGAATAGTTTTACATTTAACTCTTTACTTAGTTTTGCCCGGTATTTAAAAGATTCAAAACGCTTAAACTTTGCTAATCTGATAGAAATCGCGTAACCTTTGTGGCAGCTTCAAACTGAAAAAATGTCTATATGTCTATATAATATTTACAAAACTCTGCGTCCATCAAAAGGCGAACGCGAAATTCGTACCTTCGTAGAAGGATAGATTTGTCGAAGCCTCAATTTTCGAATAATGTCAAGGACGCAGAGGAAAGAGAAATTCTACAATTATGTAGCACATGTGGCTGTTCGTGTCAGTTGCTATATTCAGCAGAATCTTCAATAAGTGTGATAAAGGGCATGGGCGACTTATCTTCCTCAGAGAAACTTAATCTTGGTATCAGAAAACATGGCGCAGTACATAGATAACTCCAACTTGAATAGCACTACCGAGATAAAGCCATGCTTCTCAAATTTGGTTATCTCACAACTTGTCAACGGTGAAGTCGAAATATTTAGTTAGCAGAGTTCTGCTAGGTAACATATGGCCACTGTAAAGTTTTTCGAGCCGTTTATTTTAAAGGACGACTATAACAGTAAAGTGAAGAAAGAGGACAAGACAGTGGTAAGAGTATCGACATTTTCAGGGCAACTAGAAAGGTTCTAAAATTATCCGTTATTTCAGACATAATTGGGTCTTACGGCTGTTGTTTATTAGGTCGTCAGACTACTGGCGTCTTTCACTAATTACATTGAAATGGTGATTAATATCTATTTCACTAGAACTATATAGATATCCGAAGTTATTCAAATTAGTAATCTCTTAAACTAACACTGTATGGTTACAATTAGAGTTTATCAATCGAGACATTAGCGCCAAGAATTTAGAGCCTGTTCTTACGTGATACTGAGGTAAGTCTAAGTTCGCGAAAGACTCGAATATCTTCTATTCATCATCTGGAAATCAAATAATCAGCGTTTCCAAACAGTTTGTGGAAATATCAAATTAGAGCTAAGAGCCGATAATAAACATCGAAAGCTCTCGGGCGTGCAGGAAGGGAATAATCCAAACAAAACCTCTTGTCTTATCACTGAAAATCAACATGGCCCCTCCTTGGCAGTATTTAGAAGATTGTCAAAGGTGTCATAATTGATTCAATCACATTGAACTATTCAAGACTTAACTTTAGTTGAGAGCTGATGTTTTGTACTTAGAAATTGAATGTATGGCTTGGTGGAAGTCTTATTACCATATCATTATCTTCGAAAGCACATCGCTTGCTTCAATTACCTCTCAATTACCGGTTGCATACACAGATGGAAATTGCTTCCCGAACAAGCCGATAATAGAGACACGTAGTAATTTGTATTTGAAAAAGCTCTAATTGATTTCCATAAAATTTTGTTTTCCTTTAAGATCCGATACTATCGGTTGAAAGCCCCCCGCTGACGTCTACTATTTGTTTTAAGGATTAGAGCAAACAATTAGGAAATACTTGTTTCCTTAGAGCTTTGATTTTTAGAAAACAAAAAATGTCTTTTGAGAGAGAGCCGAGATGTTTCCAGACTTAAATGGTGGTGTTTATTTTCAAAGGGAATACGGCCGTGAAGGAAATAAAGGTCGCGCCGTCGCTCTCTTTCGTGACTTTCGTCACCGGATGAAAGAAGATTCCCATCTCGAAACCATCCCATTACTTTTCTTTAAGTACCTTGCATATTAATCCTAATTATCAGACAAGTGGTTTTGGTTTTGAAGCTAGAAAGGCGGTACTTTTGGATAACAACTTCAAACCGACAGTGTGGGCACGTCAGACGAAATTATTTTGCAAATGCCTCGGAGGCAGTTCCAGCATGTTTGCAGAATTATCGAAGCCACCACGCCGACAGAAACAATAGGACTACCAAGCCGTAAATTGGTTTTAATGCGAGCCAATGGGAACAATTTAGCAGTTATCAAATCTTTTAAAGATGACACCCTGCGCGTCCTGTGGTTGGCTGCCATTTATCAACAACAAATTTGCTTGATAATGACACAATTATCTTATGCCCTATTAGGCAGGGTCCAATATTCGCGGACGTCAAACGGGTGAAATGGCTGTTCACAGCAGGTTCTCTTCAGTTCCGAACTAAAGCTACGGACGGCAGAGCAACTAGGCATTCCAAGGACGACACGCAAACTAAGAAGCCTTTTGTGCTAAAGAAAATCGAACTGCGATCCACTCACAAAGCAATGGAGGAAAGAAGGCCTGCCACGGCTAGAGGCATATCTTTCAGCGTTGAGTCGCTTATATCCAAACCAGAACAAAATGGCGACAGTCCGTCAAATTTATCCCGCACTCCAGGGTTACCGATTAACTTTTCTGTTGAAAGGCTGTTGGATAAACAAGATGTTAGGGGAGGAGAAGCTGTAAGAAGCGCTGAACCGTCTATCGGTTCGACTACTGAGAGCAAAGATACTAATGAACGCGTGGAATGGACAGAAGACTTTCCTTGGATGCATTCTACTAGATATGACCCTCCACCTCGTAAGTCAAAAATACCACTCGTGTATGAAATCCTATTTTTGGTTGTATCTCAATTGACCACGTTTAATGCTGTAGAATTATCGGAACTATTCCCCCTTGTCCGATAGGAAAGGAGATATTTTTCCGGGACTTGCTTTACTGACTACTCAGTGCGTGTCTTAACAGATCTTGTGTATGAGCTATACGAGTCACCCAGTACTCCGCACTAATCCTCCTTTCGGGGCTTCTCTTTCAGGGGTTCGCCCACGACTTAGTCCGACGAAATGCCAACTCAGGAAGCACAAGACTAATCGCAAACCGAGAACGCCTTTTACAACTTCACAACTCCTTGCATTGGAAAGGAAATTTCGACAAAAGCAATACCTCTCGATCGCTGAAAGAGCGGAATTTTCTGCCTCTTTGAACCTTACAGAAACGCAAGTTAAGATATGGTTTCAAAATCGAAGAGCGAAAGCTAAGAGGCTTCATGAGGCTGAACTAGAAAAACTCAAACTGGCGAGCAAGCCGTATTTACCACCAAGGTTTCCATCGAGTCTTGGACCTAGCTCTGTTTGTTGTGAGCCTTCGCCTTACGGTCCTCACTTCGCTTTTCAGTCTTACGCGCACGTAAATTTGCCGAATTCACACTTCGGACAAGCTGTAGGTTACTCACACAGGAATCCTTATGGCCCTCCTCAAACTTTTCACAATTTTATGTACCACTAGACTAGTTGGCAAGTAGCAACATTTTCTGTTACATATCTGTTTAGTTAAACTCTTTTAGGTTGTATTTTATTTTTTTATCTCAGTGATATTCTTCTTTTTTTTTTTTTTTTCATCGAGTTTGCTCGACTAGCAGATTGGAATGGATTTTTTAAAGAGAATTTATCGGTGCTTGTGCTACAGAGTGAAATCCTTAAAGAAAATGATAATTTCATGTATTTTTTTATATTATATGAAATATATGGACGACTATTGACAAGTGAGCGAGAGTCTAGTGGAAACGTTTTAAAAGAGAGATTCTGGTTTCAGGCAATCAATTTATTTCAGGTTGTTGTGAGAGCAATTATAAAGACATCAAGCACGTGTTTTTGAAACAATTTCCGTAAAATTGCATTGACATTGAGACACACAGCAAACCATTATGTGAGACCCTAGCAGCTCACTCCTTGACGATGAAAACAATGCCTTTGTAATTATTTAACCGCCCTATTAATGGGAAACACCTCTCGTGCAACCCTGTCAGAAGGAAAGAATAGGCGTACAGCTAATTTAAGGCCGTATAGCTTCTCAGTATTTTTTTCCCAGAGAAACTGGTTGTCATAGGGTTGTACCTGCTAAAACTTGTGAAAAGGCCCTAATCATCTTGTTTTCGCTGGTGGGGCAAGTTAACTTTCGTCGTCTGTTCCGACGTTAGGTGTTGCCACGCTTCTTAGCGCATAAGAAACGTCCGGTAAGAAACTGGTGGCCTTATTTGACATAAATGAGTGGCTGCACTTATCAGCTTAATGCTGTTATTTATTCAGCCACCAGCGATAGTTACACATGAAACACCACTTCTAAATCGAAGTGAATGAAGATTTTATTCCCAAGTAACTTACATATTCTGTGTAAATATAACAGAAATAATCTATTGTAACATATGAATTGGAATAAAATTATTCTTTGTAGTAAGCTCCTCTCTTATTTGCGGGATAGCTCAATAGAACCACTTGTGCTGGTGCCACACTGCTTCCCGTTAAATCCCTCCTACTTCTGCGAATATCTTCAACCTGAAAGATCCAAACAGTTGGCGCAGTACTTCATAAAGCTACCTGCCGATGGCCCTTGGTAAATGAACACACCTACACAGCTTTCATCCATATGGTGTTCATTAGAATATAACAGATGAGAACGCAATGTCGCTCTGTGATAAGAAAACCAGACTTTTATTATTTGCTTCTCGAAAAAGTCGTCACTCAAACGACAGCTTAGACATGTGTCTCTCTCAAGAATCTGGCACAAGATCGTTTACGCTTCAAAATTTGGCTTATCAAGCCTCGCCATAAATTTTTGTGGAGTGTTTCCTGAAAAAAAGAATTGACATGTTGGCTTGTGCTACTTTTTAGGTGATTAATAATTTGATGGAACGAGAGGGTTTCTCTTGCTCGTGGTTAGCGTGTTAAAGTTTATCGTTGTGTCTGACAGGAGACTTCGCCTTCTTTCATGCACCTTGTAGCTTCCTTTGAAGTTTGGTTTATATTTTTTTTCACGCTAGTATTAATGGCTCTTACACTGTAGCACTATTTTACCACTCTTAAATGTTATTTGTAGAGGTGTTAATTTTCTTGAAAAACTTTTTGAATAAAAGACAAGGGTTTATAATCGTAATGCATAGAAAGCCACTTTTCCACAAAGACTAACTTTATTTGGTAAGCAGATGATAATTTGTATGCCTTCCTTTAACAAACTTGTGTGTCGAAGAGTTCTCATTCACAGTACGAAATGATGATTTTTTAAAATAACACTTGTTAATCTAGATGGAATTTGAAATCAATGTCGAGCATATTGTAGCGTAAAATTATGTGCTTGTTTATCCTTTCAAGCGAATTAAACACTTGCATTGAGACCGAGGGACTGAATTATTTTTGACGTTTTTTCTTTCGACAATCATTTAATGATAAACACTTAATGGATTTTTTTATTTACATTTCGGTCAGCTGGAATTCGCTCGTGGCAAGTTTCTATCCTTGTAATGAAATATTAACATGTTTTTTGAGTTCGTGAATTTAGGATGAAGTATGTTTGTATCTTACGACAGATAAACTTTTCATTATTCTAGTGGTTTACTTAGGCTGATGAAAATCTTTCAAGTGAACCAATGTGAAGTACATGGTCCACTTAAGGAGAAATTATCTTGTGTTTACTTAGCGAATAAATATGAAAACGCTACTTATCTTGGACAAATTACATACCAATTAGTACTCAGCGGGTCTCTTGAGAACGCCTGGCGTCTCTGTTTGTAAAGTGATTCATTAATAAGCAATTTTACAAAAGGCAAACTAATTAAAAAACGCTTCTGTCGGTGCTTTTTGTGATTCGTTTGAGAACCACTTAAAAGAGACTGGAATAACTTCAAAATGCGAAGGCGGTCCTGAAAGATGTTCAAATTGAACTCCTTGAATTGCGAATACAATAGATGTAGTAACGACAATGTGGTGAAACTGATGTGTATTCAATTGCAAATAACGCTAAAACGGCATCGTTTAAACAAAGACACTGCCCTGTTTGCGCAATTTGTTCTCATTCGTAAGACCTAAATGAAACATAGCGGATTGTTTATGGCAAAATATGACGGCTCGAGACCCAACGGTTTCATAAAGTACCCCCTACTGTTCAGCAAATCAAAATCAATATATCAGTTTTGGCCTTTCAAGTCTCACGTCATCAAACAATTCCTTTTTTTTTTTCTGGGTCAGACAATCCGTTTCTCACAATTAAAGAAGCCAAGTGATAGATTCTCTATTGTAACTTAAAGGATTTTAGAGAATGTCAGGTTTGTAAGCGCTTCTTACAGTTCACCATTTGGCCGAATAATAATGCGCATCACACGCTTCACTTAATCGCGGCAGCTTTTGATATTATTATCACTTTAGCCAGAATTATTTTCCAGTCTGTCTCCGTGATATTGTACCACGGTACTTATGTAAAGCTGTTTCTAAGAGGAGCTAATTGCTTTATACGTGTGCCAATTGAAAACATTAAGTGAAGGTAAGTTCTTTATTTATGAATTATTGCGATATGTGAATCTTGAGAAGTAAAATCAGACAGCAATGTGTCGCTACAATTGTTGGAGGATTATATTTTAAAAAAGAGACAACAAGCTCATTTGTTTTGATTGCTTCTTTGGTCAGCATTGATTGTGATTTTCATGCTTCAGTAATGACTGGAAGTGTTTTTAAAAGAACCGATTATTCGACAAACGTGACTGACGACATGAAAAGGTTTAATTTTGAATAGACTCAGGAAGTTTCCACGACAAGAGGACAAAAAGGCACCGTGAATTTATAAGAGGTCGCCATAAATGTTCGACGGACCATAATCGTCTATTAAGGAGTTACAATAAAGGCGATCTTTTTCAGTCTTGAACCTGCATAGATGAGCTCGTCGCGAAATCCACAAACAAAGGTTTATTGTCTAAAGCTGTCACCTTCACAGTGTGACCCAAAGCGCAAAAGGCGAACTGGGAAAGTTGTTAGATCCTTGCTGTGGTGCTTTATTAAGGAAGCTTAAGCTTTCATGTTTGAGGTCTTAAAGAAGCAAACGGAAAGTAAGGGTACTTCATCTTTATTTCGTATGTTTGTCAAATTTCCGCTAAATACCTGCTTTGACGTGCTACTTAACTAGCAGAAACAAAACAATAACTTTAAAAAAGGCGTTACTGGTTGTTTCAAGCGAGGAGGCCTTGCAAGTGATTTGTGACAACAATTCTATCGCGAACAAAAGAGTGAACGATAAAAGATGTTTCGAATGGATAAATAGTGATTTGGAGTGTCCTCGTTAAAAAGGCTGTGGCGAGGCAGAAAATCTATCATTACTTAGCGCTGGGCTGCTTGTTTATTCAATTTGAGGTTTAAGTGTCGTGGTAGTAAAAGGATTGAATTGCTACTGCATTGGAAAAAATATGTCCTTCAAGATTTTCTTTTTTTATCTTCTTATTTATCATATTTTTTATAAAAAAAAGAAAACCGCTATGCTAGTTGTTTCTTTATGCAGGTGAATTTAATCATCTAAGAAAAGTTATCAATACAAGTGGCTTCGCTCTCCATTAACTTTATTTTCCTCACTTTGCAAGGCATTCATTGGGTTTTAATTCCCTCTTAGTTGGGTGGAGACACATAGTAATGGACTCAGGGTTAAAATCCTGTGAAGTCTTAATCTCAACTCTAGTTTGGATGTGAGTAACTACTTTTTCTAGAACATCATGCCACCTCCTTAGAGCCCGTCGCCTTGACAAGTATTACTTTGCTTATTACTGGCGATTTTTGTCGGCAGCGTTCATCATTCGTCGGTGATTCTTATCGCCTTAGCTCATTTTTGGAGCTTAGCTGATAGCCCCAATCTCAAGCGTAAGACCAGGATTTAAAATTTGCACACCTCAAAATACAAGCGAATAGAGGAATGTTATCCTTTTCAGTTCTTACTTCTTGTTTCAATCTCAGTTTCAATATCTTGTTTACAACTTGCCGATTTTTTTCCATACTTTTGAGGGTGGAATAGCTCCGTTCTATTGTGGATATTCGTGGTAGGAGGAAGAGATATTCCCGGCTACTTTTTATTGTGGTCGAATGGGTCACCTGTTTAAGTAACGCCTAGTGTCCAAGTGTCACCTTTACTTCCAGTCGGGAGCTATCTCTCTACCCTTAATGTCCAGTGTTCAATTTTATGAAAATTTAGTCATAGTAATGAGCTTACGAGACCGAGAAATAGAGATAGTTTTTCTGACAATTACAGTATTCAACCCTGTCCTGTGATAAGGTAAACTTTCTTGGATCTCTCATTTTACAATAACGGACACTAAATCTGCATATGCCTAGTTTTAAGTTTTCCTACGATGTTTCATGTATTACTTCTGTCGCGTTCCCAACTTTACTTATCATTGCACGTTAAGAAACGATTCTTTTTTACAAGTTTGAAGAAACACAACAGATTTCTTGTAATGTGACACTATTAGGATAATCCAACAATACAACAACGATGCTTTAAATTGTTGTACTCATCTACTATAAATAAGGCTCAAGAGATGAACTTGATATGAAAGAAAAAAAATAGGTGTTAAAAGGATTCAAAAAAAGTCGAGAAACAGGATAAAATTGTTTACGCTTTTTATAGGATTTGAATTTTTCACAAAAACATCATTTGCGCCTACAGACAAAGACTTCATGAAGTTTTAGTCGACAGGTTTGTTAATAATAGTTGATGGAACACTTCAAATCTTGCTACGATATTACCCGTCTTATGTCTCATTTATTTACCTTTTTTGTATCGCTATACTGAGAATTTTATTCTGGCTGGTTAGTTCTGAGGCAGTTGTCAAGAAAGCTATATTTTGTCATTGTCTTAATAACCTGTTGCATTGTTCACCATTTAGTGGCAAATAAATTACTCTTAATATTTCCCAGTGTGTTTCTTGAAGGCTTCTTTACCACGAAGTCTCGTGATTTGTCTCTCTCCCTCTGATTCTTGTTTGCGAAAGCGTTACTTTATGCGTGAACCTCTCCATTGACTTCCTAGAAGTGTTTATTCCTCGTCAGAACCTTTGTTTAGCGACGCAGTAACACTGTCCATCTGTGTCCTCGGCTAAGTCAATGATTCAGATCTATTTCCTTTTCTAGCAATTGACTTTTCTGCAAAAAATCGCCTTTTAGCAAAATTTCTTTTCTCTTTTCCTAACTGTTTTGATTTTTGTGCCAAGTTTGCTACTTATTGTGAAGTGATATTGAACTAAGGGGTAGTCTCCATAACTGTTGACAAAGCGTGAACACATCTTGTAAATAATTTAACGTCAGAGTTGATAACAAAATACCCAGATCATTAATTGATAGTATCAACAGCTGTCAAGCCTTCTTATGGTGAATGAGAACAAAACAAGTATGTGGACTGTGAAATTGCCAAAATGACTTCCCTGATGTTTT